GGGGGGGGGGGGGGGGGGGCGTACTCTATGTTTTCCATGCCTTAGCGGTTCGAGAATTGACCACGCGTCCTCGAGAGGACGAAGAATTGTTCCCACAGGATCGATCACCAATGGCCAATCGTTCCTTCCTACTTTACCAAAGGTGGCTCAAAAATGTCTTCCCTGGTCTATCTATCCTATCGATATCACTTCCCACCTTTTCAACCCACTTGCTATGCCCCAGTACGGNGGGGGGGGGGGGGGGGGGGGGGGGGGGGGGGGGGGGGGGGGGGGGGGGGGGGGGGGGGGGGGGGGGGGGGGGGGGGGAGGTATGTATTTGTGACACGAGGCAACCTTCCACCAAAGGGTATACTAATTCTTCCGTAGTCTGTGCACCATAACAGTCGTAAGAAAGGGCAAGTACTTGGATGGAGGTCGGGACGGCTTTGGATGTGACGGCAGCGACAACAGCAAAATACTACGACGAACGACCGCAACGACCAAGACAACGGCGACGATCACAACTGCAAAACACCAAAAGGCTAAATAGCTACGCAAACGTGATAGGATAGCATCACCTGGTTGCTGACGCGGTCCCGAGGGTCGCACCCCAGCGTGAGTAGCCAGCTCACCACCAGAGCAGACGTGGACAGCGGGGTGAAAATCTGAGCCCAATGCCTGTGGCCGTAGCATAACCAGAAATAGCAACATCGGCCGCAGCAGGGACAACAACAACATCAGCAGCAGCAGCAGCAGCACCGAAACATTCATATTCCGGAGGGTTACGATTGGGAATGGACAGAGGTCAATCAATCGTTCACGGTGGGAGAGCGCGAGAACTGGTTCTCGCGACCGCAGGCTCAAAATAGCCTTCCTTGCTCAAAGCGATACACGGGGCTGGCAGGAGGCACACGGAGAGGAGTCATCCAGCCAGCCACCCAGCAGCCACCCAGCCAAGACAAGACAGCTGTGCGCCGGGACATTCGCACAACGTTCAAGAAACAGATCATACGCAAACTTCCCTTCGATACACGTTCAATAAAGCCTATACATGGCGCTCTCACGAAACGTCGAGTAGGTTCCATCCGGGGGGCGAGCGAAGGGAGGGAGGGGTAGTAATCGTGACTGCACCTGTTCATGATGTAGTAGGCAGCCAGGGACAGGAAGAGCTTGTAGCCCACGGTGAACGTGAAGAGCATGAACCTCCAGAAGAACACGATCTCGCAGAGGTAAGTGATGAAGAAGCTCAGGGGAGGGATGCGGCCGTGCATGCGGTAGTACTTGAGCAGGGGGTGCGTGTACTCCTGGTTAAGCGGGGGGGACGGGACGGGGACGCATAGGAAGGGCGGGTGAAAGGTGGAGTTTCGGAAACACGTCAACATGATGATGAGTGGATTTTCAAAGACACGCACGGCGAAGGTTTTTCCCACAATAATGTACAGTAATTAGGCACGATGGTTTGCCAAAACGGGGCTGTCTTGTTTGGTGGGGCTGTACATCCAAGTGTGGTAAGTGTGGTACCGCCGCCGGAGGAGGGGGCGACCCCACTAGCCGCCAGGGTGGGGCAGGAAAAAGGGGTCGCGGAAACGGCTGCGGTCGTCGCCGTTGTCCTCGCCAACGTTGGCGACGACGACGGCAGTTTCCGAAACCCCTTCTCCCGGCCCCACCCAGGATTGCGAAATTGGGCATGTCTCGAAACATTGTGGTACACAAGTCATGTTAAAGACCGCAAGCAGATTGCGATTTATTAGTGTGGTTCATTGAGATTCGCTGAGCTGTTCAAGTCCAAAACCCGTCAGTTGTGTGAGCTGTTGAGCTTGTGAAACGTCGCACCGCAGCTGGCAGTCAGCTGTGAGTTGGCCCTGCTGCCTGCTTTATTTTCATCTTGCATCACCTCGTGTGATGACACACTGCTGTGCTGTGTACCACCATATTTCGAGACATCCTCAATGTCGCGATCCTGGGGGGTGCCGGGAGAAGGGGTGCCAGAAACGGCCGTCGTCGTCGCCATTGTCGTCGCCGCCGGCACCACCCAGGATCGCGACGTTGTGTTGTGTGTTGTGTTTTCGTCCTATTTACAATGGCGACAGTCCCCCCATTTTTCGTGGTGAGACGTGTACTACACTTTTCAGCGTATGTAGAGTACTCCCCTTTTCAGTGTATTTTTTCGTACAACTACAACCATCCAGGGTCACACAGGAGGGGGTAAACACCAGGGCTTTTTTCTTCTTTTTTTTCTTTTCATGCCCCACCTTCCTCCTGCGGTGCGTGGTGAATTTTATTTTTATCGCGAGAAGGGTCCAGCCGTCCCTTTCCTTCGTCAACCGTGCTAACGTCGAAGTTTGGTACTCACGAGAGCTTGTCAGCTATATTTCGCCTTCACCCGCACATTTCGTAATTTTTTTACTCCATGGGGATTCGAACTCATGACCTCTGCCACTAGCGGATTACGAGGATACCACTAGACCACCGGGGCGACCGGGTTGGGGATGTCTCGAAAACACGCCCGACAAACATGGCGGTACACAAGTCATCCCTCCGGAGTGGGCTCATGAGAGCACAGCAGTGTCATCAAGGGGTGACGCAAGATGAAAATAAACGCAGGCAGCAGGGCCAACTCACAGCTGACAGCCAGTTGCGGTACGACGGTTCCCAAGCTCAACAGCTCACCAAGCTCACGTGTTTCGGGCTTGAACAGCCCAGCGAGCCCCAACGAACCACACAAAAATCACAATCTGCCTACAGTCCTAACAAGGAAGCGAACTCTAGCTCGACACAAGCAAGAAGGGCGTGAATCGCCTCATGTTCAACACGAAATGCAGCAGTGCTGAGAACAAAAAGTGTCCGCCAGGATAAAAGAAAGTAGATGGGTGGATCTTCCGAATCCAAATCTTACGTTGGGGTCCGCTGCGCCGCCCTCTCCCGACTCGCCGCCGCCGTCTGCCGCTTCTGTTCCTTCTGCTGCCGCTGCTTCATCCGCCATGGTAGCATCTCCTTCCCCGTCCGCGACATCCTGCAATCCCGATCAAAAACAAAAAAAATACGAAAAGATTGAAAAACTTACAACACACACCTGAAAAACTACAGTGCCGTACACGCCTGTTGTTTTTTTTGTCACTGCCACATCAACTTTGTAAATCTCGTCGGCGGGTGACCACTGCCGCCTTTGCTTTTTCCGATCCCGGGCGTTCTCTTTCACAGACACGCGCACCAGCTGAACAGAGGGAATAACATTAAAGAGGGGTCCGTTGCGCACGTCACAAGATACCTCCCCCCCGGCACCCTCGTGCTGCTTTCTACTACGTGCCGGGTGGGCGCACAATCCAGAGCATGCTTCACTGGATCCCGTCGGCATAAAATCAATCTTCAGGCCTTTCGCGAGCGGCGAGTCGAAAATTATTTTTCCGTTTCCCGTGGACCCTTCCATCTCCTTGCCCCGTTGAAAGTTCCATCTCCCTGTCCCGTGGAACCTTCCGTTTCCTCTTCCCGTGGAGCCTTTCATTCCCGGGAAAGAAAACAAACATTTCCGCTAGGTACCTCCCTCTCCGCGTCGCGGCCCATTGGAGGCGTTTGTCCAGAACCCGAAACACACCGAACGACAGGTACAATGGTATACATGTTTGTTGCATGCCTCGTAGTGGTTGAGAGCGCCGGCCGACATTGGCGATGTGTTTCCAGCAACAAGAACCAACCGTTACAAACAAAGGAAACATGTTGCATGCCTCGTACTTGTGGGAGTGGAAGGCGTTGGCCGACGTTGGAGGCGTTTATCCAGAAATAACAACCAACCGCTACAAAACGGACAAATACGTGTAGTGAATACCTCGTAGGGGTTGAGGGTGCCCGTTGATATAGAATGCCGTTGGCGGCCCTCCGACCTATTGAACAGCGAAGCCGCTCCACCCGCGGCGGTGTTCCTGCCGAGAGAATAAAAAAAAAAATGTGTGTCAAGGTTGTGCATACTTGTACTTGTAGTTTCGGCCGAGGCTAGGGTTCTCACTGTATTCCTGGGGTAATGCTACGAATGACCGCTATACAGGTTTGAGTGAGGGGTTCTTAACCGTGCTCACCAACGGTGCTCACTTCTTAGATATTTTGAGTTCTTCGAGCTGTATCAATTTCGTACCTACCATCAATCTGAAATGCGGGTTCTACAACCTCCAAGCAGCAACGATGAAATATCGCCTACCGCAGATACCGTCTGTAGTGGCGGCTACGGTTTAAGAGAGAGCCGGGACAAGTCAGTATCTCTCTCTTCACTCCGGTTTCCTATCAAAACCGCACTGTGAAATGTATGTGTTTCTCATGGTCATACCAAGCCAGGTTGACTCTCTAAAAACGGTCTTTCTCTTGAATAGTCTCTCCTAAACCGTAGCCGCCACTGCATTGAGGAACAAGGCTCATCAATGGGTGTGTGTCGTCCCTGGCGGTTTCCACCAATGTTGACGCGTCTCTTTCTTGCGAGAAAAAATAGTGGCCGTGGGCCCGTCGAGAAGAAGAGGGGGGAGTGGGGGACAACGGCACCGCCGCCCGATGATAAAAAAAAATGCAAAAAATAAAGAAGAAAAAATAACACGGCTGCCAAAACGCCGCCATGTTGATGCTGATGCCAGCACACCTTAAAAACATTTCGGTTGAATAGGTGGATGCGGTGTGTACCCTATCACTACAGAGAACCGCAACCAATAACCATGAACCCGCGCCACACACGCCGCTAATGCTAGGTAGACTTCGTTCCAGCGGTACTCCAGACACTTGGTACGATCGATAGACCCACGGCGGCGTAGTCGACGTAGTGCTTGGCACGCAACAACTGCTGCTGCTGCTGCGGAAGCGACTTCCGCGCCGCTTGTTACCGGCGCTCGCTGTTGAACCCCAGGCGCTTGGTGCTCTGCTCCGCGGCCGTCATGTTGTCGTCCAACGCCGATCTCGGGGTCGAGGAGCCGATTCCGCCGCCTCCGTGCTGGCTCAGAGCCCCTCCGCCGCCGGTGGTGCTGCCGTGAAGGCTGCCGGTACGCTCAAGCGTGTTGCCCTTGAAAAGCGAAAAAACGAGCGAACCAGAAAAGACAAAGCCCATTGGGCGACACCAAACACATATGAAAGTAAATTACTAATAAGTTAATTGGAAAAAACAAAAAACAACCCTTCGAGTAACACCAAACACAAGATAAATGAATAAACAAAATACATATCCAAACACTTGGAACAAAAGCCAAAATAAAACAACACTTGCAAAGGACGCGCCCAGTCTCGAACGTCGATTGGATAGATCGACCGTATGGAAAGCAACGACGGAGGGGAGTGCGACGCATGGTGCCTTACGTATTCCGACGTATGCCTCTATTATAGCTATCCTATTAGTGAAATCAAAAGGCGTTAAGGGTAGGTGGACGAATTTTTCTGGTTGTTGTCTTCACTTCCTCACAAAACTTGTGCCGTTTACTCCAACCCGTGCGGTCACACAGAAGGGTTCCGCTTCCTGAGGGTCCCTACCCACCCTGTGGTACTTTGCCTTCAATCATTTATGAGAAAAGAGGGCAGCACTCTCTTCCCACATACAAAAAAAAAACAGTTTTGTGTTGTGTTCTGTCAAACAAACAAAAAAAGGGCGGGGGGGGGGGGGGGGGGGGGG